CAAATTATTCTATCTAACTTATATTTATGTCCAAACATCTGCTGGAAGGTTATCTATCTTTGGGATTTTCCACATTTTTGGAGAATACCTTTCTCATCCTCCCCTAGGAGTTTTCACCACCCAGCTGTGTCCTGGAAGCATGGAAAAAAATAGGAATTACTGCAATAGGATAGTTGTAGATGGTTGTGTTAGTAGCCCTAATAACTAAAAATTAACTAAAGTCTGTTGTCTAAAAAGCTGCTAGTTATATCGTCAGGCCTGAAGACAGTTTTTGTAAAGCCTACCAATTCAATATGTTGTCCCATAAGTGTCTTTGCTGTGTATCCTGGGAGCATCCTTTCTTTAAAGGGACGCAAGTTCTGTAGACCCTGCTTGTTTCCTGTGGGGGTTCATCAAGTAGCGAGAAGTTGTGTGGTGGAACCACATGGTTTTGTGCATCAGCATCAGATCGTCTTACTTTCAGTCCTGTGGGTTCAATTTGACAAGTGTTACTGACTGTCAGAGAGGTAAGTAACATAGTAGTAGAAAGAGACTCACATGGGATAGTGAAGGAAGGGAGGCTGGACCAGGTACTTAGGGACAGAATTGTGTAAAGGCCATGAAGTCTTTGGCCATGAAAGGCCATGAAAGGAGCCAAGTATTACCTTTTGTTTCAAGGCACAATTTCTTTTTTTTGTGACCAGTAAGGTGATCGCAACCCTTGGCTCGGTGTGGTCCGCACCACGCTCAGCCAGTGAGTGCACCAGCCATCCCTATATAGGATCCAAACCCGTGGCCTCGGTGCTACCAGCGCTGCACTCTCCCGAGTGAGCCACGGGGCCGGCCCTTCAAGGCACAATTTCAACAGGCAAAGTTGACAGCGAAGAGTACCTGTCAGGCAAGAGAATAGACTGCATTGGTAGCCTGGCATGAAAGAGAACAGCGATACTACATTGGTCTGAATCTGTACATATGGAGAAATAGTGAATACAGAGCTGGAAAGGTTGATCAGCATCATATTGATTATGAAGAAAACCTCGGAGTTAAGCAGTTAAGAGGTTTTTGCAGCAGTCCAGGTGAAAGATAATAAGGCCTTGTAGCAGTGACAGTGCCATTCCTTACCCACTTGGCACTTACCATTCCCATGCATTCGGGCCTACCTGAGAGCTACCAACTACGAGCACCTGCCTCTCTGACTGAGGTCCTTCCCTAGGCACTGGAGCCTGCTGGACCTGTGCTCAGGGCAGACCAGAAGTGCAGGGGAGTTAAGGTCCTCCAGGAGCAGCCTTCAACCAGTGGCTTAAGGGAATTAGTGGGTAAATAACCCAGCTCACTTGTCACTTGGGTTGGGATCATTTTAAGCCATGTTCGAACGTCTCCTAGAGTGCCCCAAGGGGATGGAGTGCCAGTTGCCCACAGCTGTAAACTGCTTGACAACATTTTCTTCATTGACTTGCTGCTTTTCCTGATTCACTTTGCTACTCCCCTGCTGGTGCTTCCTGGTCTCATCTTCCAAGTGAACCAGGCCTTTACTAGAGTGGAAAGAAGAAGTTTCCTGTTTCCCACAAGACGTACTGAGGAGGAAGCAGCTACAGGACTTGGCAGTTTATCAGCTATGTGGATAAGAGAGAGGGAGAAGGCATTGTTATCTACAGCTCCTACTAGGAAAATATAGGTGCCATTTATAGAAAAATGAGAAGTTAGGAGAAGCATTGGGAGCTTTCATAAAGAGAAAAAAAGGGTTTATTTGGCGGCATTTTGAGTTTGAAGTACTGGTAGAACATTATGGTAAAGCTGCCTGCTAATACTTGGAAATGTGGATCTGGAGCTCAGGATGAAAGTAAGAGAGTGGAAGTTTAGGTTTGATCATTGTATGCAGGTGGTTGATGAAGCTATGGAGGTAGGTAAGACCTTTAAGAAGTGGGTATTGACTAGAGATTGACCAGATGCGGGCCTAAGACAAAACTTTGGGGAATGAATACCCACATTTGGGGTTGTGGAAAGAATGACAGGAACTGGGTCAGGAATGGAAAGCCAGCAGCTGGAGAAGAACCAGCATGGTGCCGTCATGGAAGCCAGGGAAGGAGCCAGCAGGAGGCAGGCCCTGTGGGAAAGGCTGTAGATTTGCTGAGTTTCAAAGTTTGGCAACTTTTGATCCACACTAGTGGATTGTTGTGTAATGAGGCATAATCAGCTTTACATATTTCAACATTTTATAATTGAGTGTGGTAGAAGATACTGTTCTATTTAGAGTTTACATTGAATTTGTGCCCCTCAAGTGCATTTCATCACAAAGGTTTTGTTGTTGTTGTTTAAGTATCTCAGCTTAATCACTTATTAACTGTTAAGATGTTACAGGAGTCATTTAATCTCTCTAAATTCAGTTTCCTAATTTATAAAATAGATATAATAATAGGATCTTCCTGAGGGTGTTGTGGACACAAATTTAATGATTCAATAAATGTTAGCCGTTGTAAATACTGTCAGATTAACATTTGTCTTTTGGGGCTTTCCATATTTGCAGATCTCAAAAAGATGACAGTAGGCAGTAGGCAGTGTTTTAGGGATGAGTTTAATGGAGGGATCATTGAAAATTTTAATTTTCTGTGATGACTCCTTAGTGATTGAATGGTGGGTGATACATAACCTTCCTGGAATGATCATGGTTTATTGGAATGTTAAAATTGGGGAGGTAGAAGGGAGGAGGGCGGGAGGTGTCGGTGAAGGGCCATAATAATCATATACATTGTATATTGACAAAATAAAAATAAAAAAAATAAAAAATAAAAAAAAATTGGGATGGTAGAGATAACTAGCTTCACAGTGTTTTTATTAGAGTAATGTTACCAGATTCCTCTCCTTGTTAGTAGATTTCAGGTTCTTTTTCTCATACATACTTTATTCATATACGAATCCTCACATATATTCTACAGAGAAGATTGCTCCCTCCTCCCAGACCTCAAATAAAGCATCTGTGGAGCTTTTATAGTTATAAACAGCCCTTATTGATGAACTTCACATGAAAATCATTTGTTTTAATGCATTATGTATTGAGGCATAATCAGCTTTACATATTTTAACATTTGAAGTGTTTACTGTCATGAAGCGCAGCTGGGGCTAAGTAGACATACTATTGTAAAAAAAAAATTAATAAATCAAATTGTGTATCACTTTATCTAGAGTGAAGGCAGTGCCTGGGAGCTACACTCCTTCATTGGCAGACAGCAGTCAGGGTGGAGAAAACAGTTCCCCATTTAAAACGAGCCACGGTTCAAGCTTTTTGTGGCACTATTGGAAAGCCTTTTTTGCTTGCTTTCTTCCTTGTTTTTTCATGAAGAATTATTTTTGCTTTTTGTGGGCATAATGATTTTTTTCTATAAAAAAATGTAATTCTGTGCTTTTTCTTCCTAAATTGACCGTTCTTGTTACGTTGGAGACACTTTGAGTATGGCACTTTGTATCTGTTTCATTGGAGGTATTTATATTGGTCTTGCCCCACTCGTGTCAAGCCTTCCTTTGCATGTTCAAAGTCTGTCAGTGCTGAGCTTCTGGTCAAGACAGCAGAATAGATGGTTCCCAGCATCACTCTCTCCCACAAATCAACCAATTTACTACTGTTAAAAAGCAATGACAACCAAGCTGGGGCTGCTAGAGCTCAGGGGAAGAGGAGGAGAGACCCAGAGTGCATGAAGGCAGGAGAAGCCACAATGCGAGAAAGCATTGTTCCCACCATTTCGAATCCTGATCCCTTCAAGGCTGGCTCTAGTGAGCTCCCAGAGCAAGAGCTGCCAAAAGCTGCAGCTGTGCCCTTTGGATGAAGTTGCTTGAAGGCAGCAGGGGAGAGGAAGGCCTTGGAGGCCCTCAGGCCAGCAGGACTACTAACAGGATTCCTGTGGACCCACAGAGGAGCGAGGAGCCACAACAACTGAGAAAAGGAGCCACTCAGAGGCCAGTAAGTCATCGCAAGGGACCAGTGCATGGCCTGTCCCATGGGAAGTGTTTGGAGTACACAGGTCGGGGCGACGGGCCCACCACAGGAACACTGGGGCACAGCATGGACAGCTGATCTGCCCCCCAATCAGCACAGGACCACTCAGTGGAGACTGGTTAGGAACACAGATCTGCATCAGATGCAGTTTGCTGAAAAGTCTCAGGCCCAGACCAGAGTTTCCACACAATCTGGATGTCTCAGAACTCACAACCGAAGTCAACCATTAAAACCTGAGTTGTACAAAAAGCCCTCCCCAAGGAATCAGCAGCAAAGCAGCAATTTAGCTCAACTACTGGGCTCAAGTGCTAGTCCCTACAGGAAGTTCCCCCTTTTTAGAAGTAAGCAATGTTCCAGTGCAGAGTTTAAGTGGTGGGAACAGCAAATAATCTAACACAGAACTGAAAGAAAAAAACAAAATATCCACAAATAAGAGACAAAGTTTGATATTAACTAGTAAAGGTCTCACATCACCTATAAAACGTAGAAGGACTGGAAGCCCCATGGGCTCTCAAGCCAGGGAGCAGGGAGGGATGGGGGCCTCAGCCATACCCACCCAACACCTACAACCAGCCCAGAAACAACCACCGAGCCACCGCTGGAAGCCCCCTGGTCTCCTGAGCTGGGGCTGTCAGGGCCACCATTGGAAGCCCCCTTTGTCTCCCCTGCAGGAATGAGGGGGGTTCCATGGGCCTCAACCATGCCCCCCCGCCTCCTTCTCCCACTGTATTTCGTTCCCACTGCCTCTACCCCCAAACTGCTCTGCAACATCTTAAATTGTAAAAAATAATATTAATAAATAAATAAACTTATAAAAAACAAAAGTCTGTCAGTGCCAACTTGAATCGTGTTGATTTTAAATGGCATATATGTACACTGCAAGATATGGAAACGATCAATTATTATTGCTAACAGTATGTACAAAGATTATTTTCTCTTATTTATAACTTCTTGAACTTTTTTACATTTCTGCATTATACAAAACATTAACCTCACATTTTAATTTTTGTGTTTTACTTGTCACTGTTTCCAGACGCCAAGGACTTACTGTTGTGCTAACACTGAAGACTTGGAGACAGTTATCCACCATGTACACAGCCTGTACCCTTCTGCTCCTTTTCTGGCAGCAGGGGTTTCAATGGGAGGGTAAGGTTTTCCTTTTCTAAAATAACTGAGAGGCAAGTGATCTTACTGGTTGTCTCTTTCAGAGGGCTATAAACTAGCTACATGTACATTTTAAAATAAATGTTTATTTTTATCATATTTATCACATATGGTGGAAGGAAGGAAGGAAAAAAGGAAGAAAAGAAGGAAGGAAAACATGTACATTTTAAAATAAATGTTTATTTTTATCATATTTATCACATATGGTGGAAGGAAGAAAGGAAGAAAAGAAGGAAGGAATTTAGGGAAACTTTAATATTTTCCTTGACTACCAGTCTCTGTGGTGAAAAGGATACGAGTACCCTCTTGGGGTACTCAAGGTTTTGCGAGCCTGAAGCTTATCTGAAACCCATGAAGTTGATTTGCATCATTCGATGGCTGCCATGTTGACTTTCTGATCCCTTGATGCACTACTGGCCATCTCTGTAACTGAGTTCTCCTTGACCACTTGGGAAGCTGAACATGTACATGGCTTTCAACACTCCAGTCACAGAAATAATCACTTATTTACTCTCTCCAACTGCAGTGGCCTTCAAAATTATTTTTCCCCAGGTGGTATTTTGTTTTGTTTTGTTTGTTTTGTTGCTGGGCAAATGGATCTACCATGGAGTGCTTGCCTAGAAACTATGAAATTTTATTGTTAACCCCCTACTCCAGCTGCTATTTTAAGCATATGAATATTATAATTTGTGCTGCTTGCCATTACATTGAGACTTATTTAGGACTTTTATTTGCCATGTTTATATTTAGGCTTATTTCTATTGGTAATTGTTTAAATATGTTTGTTCTAGTGACAGCTTAAGGAAATCCAAAATTTGTATCTGGCATTTTACTATGCTTTATATTCCTTAAACTATTGTCCAAAACTACTTTTTAAATCAGCAAACACATGAGATAGAAAATGATATTTTTTCTTAATTTTATAATTGATATATCTGTCATTTCAGTTTACAGAATATCTTTGGAATATATTTGCTTGAAACTGAATAGTCCTTACAAATGATAGGCTTTGAAAAATAGGCTTTAACCACGGCTCTTTAGATTCTAATAAACATAAAACTAAAAAGAAAAGAATACATTTCTTACATTAGCATGGAAGGTCTGACTTGACCTACTAAAGGAGGAAATCTGAATCAATGCAGAAAACTCAGGCAGAATCTCTGAATTGTACTTAATGGAAAGAATTTACCTTCTCTTTCCTTTGCCCCTTAATGTTTTTTTGTTTGTTTGTTTTTGCTGTTTTCATAATGTGAATCTTTAAAGCACAGGAGGAGGGCTTAAATTTTTTCCCTTAATTATATAAATTCTTGACTCTTTTAAAGGCCAGAACTTACAGAAACAGGACCAGATTCTCTATTCAGAAGCTCCTGGGAAATGCCTATTCATGTAGTTTTACAGCCTCAGTGCCTGAAGGCAGAATGTGACCCTTAGCCTTTACAGCTGGTTGAAGATTAATGTCTTGTAAATTGTTTGAAGGAAGCACCCTTTCTAGTTGCCTAGCACTGTGACATATTCCCAAGTGGGTCTACCCACTTCTTTCCTTGTTTTATGGATTGACACATTTTATCTTTTGAAGATGCAACAGACTGTTGAAGATGCACAGTCTGTTGAAGATCCTTATGACCAGTGCCCCATGTACTGAGGTAATCTCCAAGCCCATGATGCCTGGGGCCAAGTACAGTTAGCCCTGTGTATCTGTGGGTTCTGCATCCTTGGATTCAACCAACCTTAGATTGAAAATATTAGAGAAAAATAAAAATAATGATACAGTAATAAAAATAATATAAATAAAAAACAATACATTATAACAGCTATTTACATAGCACTTACATTGTATTAGGTATTATAAGTAATCTAGAGATGATTTAAAGTATATAGAAAGATGTGTGTAAATTATATGCAAATACTACACCATTTTATATATGGGTCTGGAGCATCTGTGGATTTTGGTATCCACAGGGTGTCCTGCAACCAATCCCTCCATGAATACTGAGGGATGACTGTATAGGCTTTGAGCTAGAACTGATTCTAGTCAAGGAACTCACGCCACTTTCAACCTAGGTAAATTCCAGTCTCCCAATGAGTTGGTAACAAGCTTTAAAAATGTATAGAAAATTCCAAATATATGCATAAGTAAATGCAAGAGCATCCCCCGTAAATTCATCACCCAGCTTCATAATTATGAACTCATGGAAAATCTTGTTTTTTCAATATCACCTCCTCCCACTGTTCCCTCCCAAATGATTATTATGAACTAAATCTCAGACATCATTTATAAATATTTCAGTTGATGTCTCCAAAAGATGGAGTTTCACTTAAAAAACAAACAAAATAAAAATCCCCATACTGTTATCATACCTAAACAAAATTAACAATAATCCTTAGGTATCATCAAACATTCAGTCAGTGTTCACATTCCCTAATTGTCCAGTTGATTGTTTATTTGGTTTTACACTTGGAGTCAGGAAACAGGGAAGGCCCACACATTGGAATTAGTTTGCCTCTTAAGTCTCTTAATCTATGGGCTCTTTCTCCATCTCTCCTTTTCTTTCCTTGTAGTTTTTTTCTTTACATGAGAAAATAGGGTTCTTTTCCTATGAAGAAAAACAACCTTGTTTGGGAGTAACATTTTGGCATTATTTTGCTCCTGAGTAATAACCAAGAACTATCCGCACCTAACTTGGTCCTGTCTACTCCTGGATCTTCCTACTTCTGAGTTTCTCTTCCAACACTTCCAGTTTGTGCATTTTAACAGCCTCCCAGCAATATCTGACCTCCAGCCAAAGAGTAGGGCCATTAAAACTAGCACCCTAGGGCCGCCCCGGTGGCACACTGTAGAGTGCGCCGCTTGGGAGCGCGGCGGCGCTTCCGCCGAGGGTTCGGATCCCATGTGGAGACCGGTTCCCGCTCACTGGCTGAGCTTGGTGCGGGCGCAACACCAAGGGTTGCGATCCCGTTGCCATCCCCGGTACGGGCGCGACACCGAGGGTTGCGATCCCATTACCGGTCAGTAAAAAAGACAAAAAGGAAAAAAAAAAAAAAAAAAAAGAATAACTGTATGCTTTGTCCCATTCACAGTATAGCTGACTGCCAGATAAATAAGTATATGTATGTAAGGAAAGAATGATGATACTTAGATGCTTTTCCAAGATAACATACTGAAACTCTGGTTTATATTTTTCTTTTCCACTGTTCATGTGAAATCCATAGTTAGAAATGGGATGTCTTGAGAGAATTAACAAATTAATCACCAAGTTTCCTGTTTCTTCTCATTTTAGAATGCTGCTTCTAAATTACCTGGGCAAAATTGGGCCCAAAACTCCTTTGATGGCGGCTGCAACTTTTTCAGTTGGTTGGAATACTTTTGCTTGCTCAGAGTCGCTGGAGAAACCACTGAACTGGCTGCTTTTTAATTACTATTTGACAACCTGCCTCCAGTCTTCAGTTAATAAGTGAGTCATCTTTAAATCCCCCAAAGATTTTAGATTACATGCCCCAACAGTAAAAAGTTATAAAGCATAACACTACCAATATATGTATATTTATTTATACATTATATGCATTTACTACTGTACTAAAATATTCTCTATTTTGTAAACATATAATAAAATTTTTAAAGTATAAGCTGAAAATACAGGTAAAAGTAGTAATGCTTTTTTTCTGTACCCCAGTTGTCTTGTAAAACTCTAAGGTATGTGCCCTCACTTTGAAGATAACTGTTCTAAGTTATTCTGAGATTAAAAACTTTAATAAGGAATGGGGTAAGTAATATTATGGACTATTTCTCTGGATTTTCTACTTACTGCTAATCTTATCAATACTTAACTCTTTCCTAGGTGGTAAGTAGTATATTGTTTTCATTGCTGAATAATATGCTCTTTAAGCATGTGCTTATGAGCATAGTATGTTTTAGAAACTTAGAAGAATGTTAAGTTGGATATTCTAAGCCCCCACAGTTCTTATATTACCAAAATACTGTCTTGGCATTAGTTTTTCTGGAATTGTTTTTCTTCTAATAGTTAAATTGGTATAGCAAAGAACATTTTTGATATGTCACCATGTATTTTTAAGTGAATCGATAAATTTAAATATAAACTCAAAAAAATACAGTTAATTTGTACATGACTTATTGAAAACTATAATTATCTAGAAAGTTGACACTAAACGTTGGTTCAAACTTAACCTGTTTGTTAAATAACAGATATTGATTATAAATATTGCTAAAAATACTAAAGAATCATTAATTAGTCAAGTGGTCACTGAAATGGAAGATAGTAGCAAGAAAAATGAAGAGTGATTTGAATTAAAATACCATTTGTATAAGAAAAATGACCAACATTTAAAAAATAAGTATGCAAAAATATAAATTCTTTCTTCTTTTTGACGGCTGGCTGGTAAAACACCATGCTCTAACCAACTGAGCTAACCGGCCAGCCCTAAATTCTAATTTTTAGTATAGCAATTTTAAAAATAATGTCTTCAAGTAATTTATCCAATTGAAATTTTCTGACTTAAATAAGGCCTTTGTGACCAAATTGGTTTATTAGCAGCAGTGGATAGGTACAATTTATTGTGAAACAACATTTATTATTACAGACTGTTTCATTCTTCCTCAATTAAAAAAATTACCTAAAAAAAGTCTTCGGAACAAATATCAGTGTACTACTTCTGCTATATCTGATTAAGCAAATGTTTATTGAGTACCAACTTTGAGCCTTGTGCTATGCTGTATCGTTATTTGTTATTATGTGTTTTAGGTATGATTGAAGTAGGAATGACCTTAATTTTTACTTTTGAAATTCTTTTGTTCCAGGCACCGGCATATGTTTGTAAAACAAGTTGACATGGATCATGTCATGAAGGTAGGAGAGAAACTTTATGTAATGCAGTACTTTTATTTCCTCTTTTGATTCCAAGAATAGATATATAATTTGTTTGTGTTTTACAGGCTAAATCCATCAGAGAATTTGATAAGCGATTCACTTCAGTCATGTTTGGATACCGAACAATTGACGATTATTATACTGACGCCAGTCCCAATCGTAGGCTGAAGTCAGTAGGAATTCCAGTGTTGTGTCTGAATTCTGTGGATGATGTTTTCTCACCCAGTCATGGTAAAATTTACATCATTGCATATATTTTGACATTAATTAACTTTTAAAATATATGTTCTTTTTAAGAAAAGGCAGTAATAAATAAGGTGTCAGTCATCTGTTTTCCAGTGTGATAAACGAAAAAATAAATAAATACTCATAACTTAGTATCTAAATGTCTGACATTATTTCTTAAACCTTTTCACAGACTCTTAGCAAGTCCATTGTGAGAGCCTCAGAACAAATTATGACCCTCAATATTTTGCTTTTTCTCACTTCCATAATCTTTTCTTCTTATCAAAAACACACTGTTCTTTGGGCAGATTATATTACAGTATCTTTGGCTCAAGACAACATTGTCATCACTTGCCTCTTCTTCCTGAGGTTCCTAAACAGAAGAATTTGAAGTTTTTCTTCCCTTTTTACCTGGAAGAGAACTTGAGACTTTATAAGCACAGTGGCCTTGAATATCTCAGCGAGTAGAGTATATTTAGACTAGAAGGTCATTTATGAAGGGAAACATCCTCTGTTTTTCTCCTGGATATTGTATAAAAGAAAATTATTCCATAATTAATTTTCCTCCTCTCTTAATTCAAGAAATATGGAACTTGGTAACAAAGATATCTATGTGTTCATACACTGAAGTATAAGATGACTAAAGGTAACCATACTAACTTTAAGGGTCAGTAGACTTAACCTTTAATTTTTTTCTAATGAAGTTTAACAAAGCATTGTATAAAACTTTTTCTCCTCATTTCCCCCGCTCCAGATACTTTTAAAATATTTTCCCCAAGTACTTCATCCAAAAAAAAAAAATTCTTACTCCAACCATAGCATATGTATATATTGTGAAAATTTCAGAAAATCCTCAAAGTATGCATTTTTAAAATCACCTCTCATCTCTCTAGGGAATCCCATTTTATTGTGCGATTTACATCTAATTACAGTTAATTTTAGATAGCTGAAACTTTTGGCCTTTGACCACAAATTAGATAATGAAACTGAATTACATGGTGATTGTTTAGTGTATTTTTGTTGGATTAAAGAAGTCTAGTATTTCTTCACTCATTTTTATATTTCACTGACCTTTTACCAACAAAATTTCCCAACATTTAATCTGACCCACTTGAGTGAAATTTAAACTCATTATTTCCTATTTTTTTCCCAAGCCCTTGCCACAGTGAAATATAGTGGACAATTGTCTGCAGTCTGAGAGAACAGGCAGCCAGCATCTTTCACATGACTCAAATGTGGCATGGCCTTTTGTTCTGATATGACTGTAACTACCAGTGTTAGAAATTTCTGAGTTTATCCAGAGTGTGAAATTGGGGCTCTTAATAATTCCATTGGAGGCAAATGAAGCACTCTAAATGTATGGTGAAAAGGAAAAGCAAAAATAGTTATCAGTCATCTTCCCACCCCCTTAGGTCCCTCCCAAGATAGGAGGTGTTCGATTTTAGGTGTTCTTTCTTGGGATGGGTATGGCTAGCTAAGGATGTGAGTTCAGGACCCCTTTTGGGTAAGAACTTGGCTTGCCAGGCCCTCCTTTAGGGTCTCTCAGTTGATTCTTCAGAGAGTGTTGTGAGGGATCATTTAAACAGGCAATTAAACAGTGCACGGCAGTAGCACTATCTTCAGAGTTCTCTAATGGCAACAGCTTCCTTTCTCTCCTTAGGAGGGGGTGGGTAGGGAGATTTTACCTTTAATTAATTCATTTACCCCTAAAACACAGTCTAAGAAGTAAAGGTCTAATTATTGCATCAACATGTTATCTTAATTAAGGAGATAAGATTTAACAGTATATGAAATCAAAAGACTTCTCATGCCAGGTTGTGATCTACTGTAGATCTTAAATCAAAACATTTTCACAGTCTGAACTCTAAACATGGGAGGAAAAAAACAACTTCAATTCATATGTTTTAAAGTTTATACTCAGGGTAAGTTTGTAAAGCATATGAAAAGACTCATTACTGTTGAATTATATTAAATATAGCAGCTATATTTTCAAAATAAAGTTTGTCTTTCTCTCGACTATCAATAGAAATTCAGAGAAGGAAGAAAAGGAAAAAATAATCACCCAGTTTTGGCACCCAAAGATAAACACTGTTACCATTTGGGAGAATTTTATTCCTTTTTTTTTTTGCTATCTATATATGTTTTTACTATATAAATAATATTTATAATTTTGAATCCTTAATATAGCCACCAGTTGGCCTCAGGAACCTGATTTTATGCAAAGTTAATACATAATAAATGTATAACTATCACAAAGGTAATTAGATTAGTTTTTTTCCCTGGGTTACCTCCTAAGTGGGGATCTTATAGCATAATGTAAGTATTCACCACTCATTGAATTATCTTACTTTAAATTCTCAAAACAAGACTCAGCCTGTACTTTTGTGGTGATTAAATCTTGGATCAGTTTTTCCAAAAATGATGGTTTAATACATGATCGTAAACACGAACTGTTATAAGAATATAGATGGTTGATATAAATTAGACTCATTCCATTTAGCCATGCTCATTACAAATATTTGTTTAATGGTGTTTTGGTTTATATTGATTAGAAGTGATAAAGGTATGAACTTTTCCTAATAAAAACTGGTAATGATTATATATTTTTTCTCTCTCTTTCCTCTCTCTTACTGCCACCCTTTTTTCTTCTCAAGCTATTCCAGTAGAAACTGCTAAGCAAAACCCTAATGTTGCTTTGGTACTTACTTCTTATGGAGGCCATATTGGTTTTCTGGAGGGAATCTGGCCAAGGCAATCCACTTACATGGATCGCGTCTTCAAGCAGTTTGTAAAGGCAGTGGTTGAGCATGGACATGAACTCTCTAACATGTAGTTCTTCAGGTGAATTTTGTCTGAACCACCATTGTAGAGGCAGCTCAGCGATGTCTAACATGTAGTTCTTCAGGTGAATTTTGTCTGAACCACAGATTTTTAACTACTGTATATAAAGCAAATAAGCCAGCAGATGGGTGAAGATGTCCAGAATGACACACAAAAACTACTTTTAAGGAAAACAAACAACTTTATAGCAAGAAATTAAATATAGCATTAATTGTTACTTATGTAGATTTTATTTTTACTATGCCTTACCAAATATGACCTTAAATAAAGTAGTACATACATGGAATTGCACTTAACCAGAACTGTTGTGTAAAATGATTTTAATTCCTCAGGGTTTTAATTTCAATTAGCATTTTTTAGATTACTCATTTTAGGTGATTTAATGGTACTTTAATAACTGTACAGAGATTTTGGCTATTCGAATGTAAGTTATAAGTTGGCAAATCCCTAAGGGTGTTTATACTTAATTGATAATAACATGAAAACTAAAATAAGATAAAATACAATGCTTTACATCTATGTATTCTAACTTTAAAAGGCAAGTGTAACAATGTTAGACTGACTTCTATACATGCTCTTTTACTCTGGTAATATTAATTAGGGCTTATTTATGTTTTATAATGATTATAATTTACATGCTTATTTTTAAAATAGTATATGTGTACACATATATATCATAATAATATTAAAATAAATTCTACCATTTTAAATTTTGTTTGTGTTTTTATCTACAAAAAGGGCCCAGAAAGTAATCCCTAGAAGGCAATTTATGAAAATTTCATGAATGCATTAGTAAGAAACATTAAAATGATTTTGCTTTACTCTTTCTAGAATATTGGACTCACACCATTTTTACCAATTGAGAATATTTTCAGCTACAGAAAACCTAACAGTGCCATAAGGAATAATGTTATTTAATTATCTTGTATCATAAGAAGTCTCCTGGTAGCTAGGCCAGGGCTGGTGCAGGGTATTACCAGTGTCATCAAGGACCCGGTCTCTGTTTCCACTCCATCCTTAGCAGGGTGACTGATTATGTCCTAGACACTGGGTGGCTGCTACAGCTCCAGACATCACATTTGTGCTCAGAGAAGGAAAAGATGGGATGGGTGGAGCGAGACACATCGTCCCTTTTGAGAAAGTGAAAGCTTTCCAAGAAGACGTACGTTCATTGGCCAGGACCATGTCACATGGCCACCCAGACTGAGAGGGAGACTAGGAAAGCAAGTAGGTAAACTTTTCCAATTATGGTCATGGCAGACAAGGAAGAGGGGATTGGCAATGGCTGCTGGGCTAGCCAGCCAATAGTGATATCTTCCATACATCTTTTCCCTCTTTTCCTATTATTTCAGTCTGTTTATAAAATACCCATATTTTTTGCCCCAGGCATCACATTGAGAGAACCATGTGTAAAAAGGCATATTAATACAAAATTGTTTACTAAAAATGCCATCTTTTGGAGAATTCTTGATAATGTGTTTGTAGATTCCCTCAATACTGTGTCTAAGATGATACATTGATAATTTTTTGGGAGGGGGTCTGTTCAGGCATATGTTCTGATTCAATCATAACTGCATTCAGCCTAGATGGATCAGGTGGGGCTGCTGATCCTGCTTTTCTATCATTTAAACTTTTGGGGAGACTATCATAAATGACACTCTTTCTCTAGGATTATACTCTTTCTCTGGGATTACAAACCCTAAGAACCATGCACATCTGGTTTGCAAGGGACCAAAAACAGAAAAGCAAGATTCCCAAAGCCTTTGAACTTCTGTTTCTAGTTAGGTCAAAATCCCTTGGACTTCCCAGTTACAAGAGCTAATAAATCCTTTTTTCACTTTAAGTTGATCTGCTTTCACTCGCAACTCCTGCCCAGTACATTTAGGAATAAACTAAATGAATAAACTATGCCTAGAATGAATGTTCAGTTGTGTGCCCTTGGAGGATGGGTCTGTGTCTCACATATTTTATGCCCCAAAGCATTTACATAGTGCTGTGCACATGTAGCTATCTCAAATTATGGATTTTAAGGTACATATGGATGTTTGCTGGCCTGAATCATATTTTTTAACTTTTTTATTGGGATATAATTCACATATAATACAATTTATCCTTTTAAGTTTATCCATTTAAAGCATACAATTCAGTGGTGTTAATTTGTTTACAGAGTTGTGCAGCCATCACCACAATCTTAGAACATTTCATCACGCCCAAAAAAGACTCCCTACTCAGTAGTCACGTCCCCTATCCACTCCCTCAGCCCTAGACAACCATTACTCTTCCTGTCTCTATATATTTGCCTATTCTGGCTGTTTATGTAATGGAATCATAGAATTTATGATCTTTTGTGACTGGCTTCTTTCACTTAGCATAAGTTTTAAAGTTTCATCCATGTTGTAGCATGTATTAGTTCTTGACATTGCTTTTATGGAGTATTTCATTGTGTAGATACATCACATTTTGTTTATCCATTCATCCGTTGATGGACATTTGGGTTTCTACTTTTTGGATAATATGAATAATATTTCTGTATTAGTCCATTTGTGTTGCTTATAACAGAATACACGGAACTGGGTGATTTATAAAGAAAATGAAATTTATTGCTTACAGTTTCTGAGGCTGAGAAATCCAAAGTTCATCTGCTGGTGGTGACAGTGACCCAGGGGTCTCATATTGCAGATGGTGGAAGCAGAGAGAGCAGAGAGAGAGAGACAGACAGACTCTCCTCTTCTTTTAAAGCCCTCAGAACCACACCCCTGACCACCATTTTTAATCCATTCACTACTTCACGGTCCTACAGTCCAATCACCTCTTCGAGGCTCCACCTTTCAATTACCACAATAAGATTTCCCGCACTCTTAACAGTCACAGTGGGGCCGAAGATTCTAATACATGAAACTTGGGAGACAATTCAAACCTCAGTGAGTTTTGGGGGGACACAATTCAGTCCATTACAGTTAGGAACAGCCAACGTCATCTCGACTAGCTCATCAAGGATACACAACACTTTGTTGTTAACTGTAGTCTCCCTATATTTTTATAGAGCACTAGCTCCCATTCTTCCTGTCTCTCTAATATTTTGTATCCACTGACCACCCTCTCCGCTTCTTCTCTTCCCCTTCCACCAACCACTCTCTAGTAACCACTATTCTGCTTTCTACTTCTATGAGATCAACTTGTTTAGCTTCCACGGATGGGTGAGAACATGTGGTATCTCTCTCTGTACCTGGCTTATTTCACTTAACATCATTTTCTCCAAGCACATCCATGTTGCTGCAAATGGCACAATTTCATTCTTTTTAATGGCTGCATGGTATTCCATTATCGATACGTACCACATTTTTCTTTTTCTGGCAGTTAGCTGATGCAGGGATATGAACCCATGACCTTGGTATTACCAGCACCATGCTCTCCCAAGTGAGCTAACCAGCCAGCCCAACACTTTCTTTATCCAATGATCCATTGAAGGATATTTAGGTTGGTCCCAACTCTTGGCTATTGTGAATAGAGTCATGACAAATATGGGAGTGCGGTGTCCCTTTGACTTGTTGCCTTCCATTCCTTTGGATATACACCCAATAACAGGATTGCTGGAGCATATAATTCTAGCTGTAGTTGTTAGAGAAATCTCCACACTGTTTTCTATCATGGCTGTAGTAATTTACAGTCCCACCAACAGTGTTGGAGAGTTCCCTTTTTCCGAATCCTCACCCCGAGGGTTCGGATCCCACATACAGACCGGTTCCCGCTCACTGGCTGAGCGAGGCGCGGGAGCAACACCGAGGGTTGCAATCCCGTTGCCGGTCCCCAGTCCGGTACGGGGGCAACACTGAGGGTTGCAATCCGTTGCCAGACACGGAAAAAAAAAAAAGACAAAAAGAAAAACTGGGAACAGTAATTTTGTCTGGGAAGATACACTGAGGGTTAGGAGACAGATGGAAAAAGACTTGTATCTTTTGAATTTTCTACCATGGGTATGCTTTACCTATTTAAAAAATAAAATAATTTTTTAAAGGACAGACATCTTTGCCCTCTGAGCTCGCATGCAAATAATAGAAAACTATACAAGCAAACAATTCTACCATTGTAACAAGCACTGTCATAAGAGTATGTATGAGGTCCAGTGGAGTCTCATGGAAAAGGTGAACTCTTCTTGCTATCTATGTGGGAGGATCTGAAGAGCCTTCCCAAGAGGAGGATGAGCTGATCTTTATCAAATGAACAGGAGGTCACCAGGCAGCAGGCTAAGAAAGAACATTCTAGGCGGAAATGGCAGCACACAAGTATGAAACTGCTTAATTCAGAGGACTGTATGAAGCATGGTAAGCAGAAGAATTGGGATGAAAAACCATGACCAATCAAGGCAACAATAGTCATTTGCTTATAAAGCACCTGCTGTAGAGTGATGTCCCCCCCAAAAACTTAGTCCCCACTGTGACAGTATAAAGATGGTGGGAAATCCTGTTATGGTAATTGAAAGGTGGGGCTTTGAAGAGGTGATTAGATTCTGAGGACCATGCCTAGTGAATGGACTAGTAATGGTGATCGTGGGTGTGGTGGTTCTGAGGGTTTTAAAAGGACAGCCCGTGAGATTCTCTCTTCCTCTCTCTGCTTCCACCAGCTCACAATGTGATATCCTGTGTTGCTGAAGCCACCACCAAGGAAGGCCTTCACCAGATGTGTTCCCTGGACTTTGGACTTCCCAGCCTCAGAAACTGTAAGTGATAAGTTTCATTTTCTTACAAATTATCCAGTTCCAGGTATTTTAAGCAACAGAAACAGATTAATACAGCACTCCTGAAGAAAATGTGAGAAATTCAAATTAATGTGTGTGTGCTTTGTAGTGTTGCCAAGCAACGTAAAGCATCCAGACTCTTTAGTAATCTGACAAATCAGGTGTTCAGTAAACTTTACTATAAAACTAATTTTAAAAAATTTAATATCTTGGGGCCGGCCCGGTGGCGCACTGGATAAGTGCGCCGCTTGGGAAGCGCGGCGGCGCTCCCGCCTGAGGGTTCGGATCCCACGTATAGAC